CTGCGGCGGCTGCGATGGGACCTCGCGGACCGGGACGCCCAGGTGGATCGTCTGAGCAGTCAAGAAATAAATTGGAAACAGAAGTGTCTCTTGGCCGTTCGCGATCGCGACGTGATCCGGACCCACCTGGTTCAATTGGCTTTTGGATCGCTCCAGTTTTCTTCGGATGTCCCGACTACAGCTTCCGCTACCCCGTTAATCGGCAAGCAATCCAGGTACACGGATCCCGATATCCCTATTAAGCTTCTCCGCGCCGCGAAGATGACGCGATCCGGAACGGAATTGGTGAATGCCATTTCGGCCAGGTAAGCCGATGAGTCCCCGCGATCCACTGGACCAGTGCGACTTGACAAAATTCCCGAATCGGATACAGCCATCCGCGTCTCTGCGCAGTCTTTCATATCAGCTCGCTCTGACGAGCCCAAAGACACGGCAGAATCGGCACGGAATCCGTCAACATAGGGCATCGCTAGTAAAAATCGATTCGCCTCCCAAGCCGGAAGTAAGCGGGACCAGAATCTTCCGGCCGCCGATCCGCCTCTCTCCGATACAGAGTCAATCAATTCTTTTGAAGACGATACTTTGGCCGCCTTGTCTGAACCTCGCTTTTCATTACGGCGCTGGGGATCGTCGAGCAGCGCTCCGCCTTCTTTCGGATCGACATCTGTCCCAATTTTCGAGGATTCCCAAGGTCACAAGTCTGGATCGCTTCCACCTTCGATTTGATCCGCACCGCCTGCAAAGCGCCCAGTCTCGAAGGTAAAACTCTTTGGTCAAGCGATAAGCGACTCCAACGGATTAATCAGAATGACCAGAGACGCGCTGGATGCCGAGAATGCCTTGCTTACGCCAGCTAAATACGATGGTTTGGCCCCGACCCGAGTACCCCGCGCTAAATAGTGCCCTGGATACCCCGATCGGGTACCCTGATCCCACCATCACGTACACCCGTGGTCAACTCGTCGTGTCAGCTTGACCTGCGCGGCAGATCTGGACGTGGATACCCTATTCAGGCACCTGACACGGTCAAAATTGAACATCTTTCCAGCACCCACCGCGACTCGATCCAGCGCTGCTCAGCCTGAATCCGAGTGGATTCCACGGCTAATTACTTTGGCTCAAATGTTGGCGGTGTACCGCCAAGAGCATTGGAATAAATACCAGAGCCAAGCCACATCGGTCTCTTTTCAAGTAACTGGTTAATTTTCAGATTTGGCATCCATGTACCGCGACTTCGATACCCGGCATCGACAGGTTCTGTGGGAAGCGACTCACGCTGTGTATCTACCGATCGAGCGGCGCGATCGCGATCCGGATCTGGCGCGTCTTTACTATCAGCGAAAACAGCGGTGATCGCGATCCGGACCACGGTGGAAACTACTGTTGCCGGTTATCTTTCAGGGAATGATCGACGGAAACCGTGACCTGGGCTTGATTCTGGGTCCCTTCTTCATGCGTCTCCCTTGATCGGTCGAGATGCGTCCATGGTATCCGGGTCTTGGCGATTGTTTGAATAACATTCCCAACCCGATCTTCGCGCTGGCGCGCTTGGATTCTTCTGAACCCAGGCGCAACCAATTTCGAGACATCATTGAGGATCACCCAGGGCCGTCAATCGCCCAACTGTCCGGAAAAGGTTTACGACGTAGTCCATAGCGATCCAGGAAGTCTGTTCACTTGATTTAAGATACATCTCCATCGTTGTCTTCTTTGTCGATTGTCGCATAAAATCTTCGCATTTGTTTTTCTTCATATATATACACTGCAATCGGAATTCAATAATCTGGATCCTCACACGCCACCTCTCTCCCAATACTCCCTCTGCGACCTTCACGCAGACCAATTTCGATTTGACAGATTGGCTTTTTGTCCACCTCTTCTTCGCGTGATATCATCCTCTCCGAACGGGATCTTGTTGACCCGATCGCGATCAAATCTTGCACCAAGGCTCCATAGTTCAAGTTTTCTTCGTCTATTTATGTCAGATCACCAGACCCTTTCCACTTCACCAACAACTGGTGTTGGTTTTTTCTAAAGAGGATATTCCTGCCGGATCGTACAACCCTAATCTTCTCGACTTCAAATTCATTCACCTAATGCGCGCTCCCAGCTGTCTTCTGGCAGCATTTATTCGTCAAAGTCGAGGCGATCCGCCTACCCAACATTCAACTGGTTTCTCGGTGAATTAAGGAAGTTCTTTACTCGCTTAAGCTTGGATATATAAACAAGTGGGAACAATCGATACGGAGTAACCGAAAATTCCAACCGCACCGCGTGTATTCCGTCTAAGTTTTCTAACTCGAAATGGTCCATGTAACATTAGTGCCAGCTTTAGGGCGAATCCTGCTTCCACCTGATCCAAAAAGAGCCATACTTGCGATCCAACTCGACATCATGTGACTCTTCCCCATGATTGTGTCGATCTACCCGGTCCTGGATCGTAATCCGTAGCGGATCGTTAACAACTTCTCTCACTCGTTAAAATTGACGCGTATATGGTATCGCCATCTTCGGGGGTCTCGATCCCCTTTTGGTGCTACCCAAGGGAAAGGTAGCTTTCAGCGTCGATCGTGGGTCCCACCCGTGTATTAGGTAGAATGGCGTATCTCCTCGCACAAGATACTGTGCCATATTGATGGCAAACGTCAACCTCTCGGCGTATTCGTCCCAATACTTAGGATTCGTATCCGTGACGTACATTTTTGAAGCTCTCGTCAGTGTTTGCACCATTTGTTCTGATGTCTCATTAGCTTGAGGTCGGTACGCCATGGTTGCACATTGTTTATGCCCCGTGATCCAATTGAACGCTCGAATATAATCGGACATAAACCCTGGCTCTCGATCAAGGCGGATCGCTTCACTGGCCCCAAATATTCGGAACGAACACTCTTTATAACTCTCAGCGATCGTTTGTGCATTTCTGAGGAAACTCGCCTTGGCGATAACGTACCCTCAGACTATATCCACCCGCAACAACAAATCGGTGGCTCCTTTAATATATCGCGGTAGTGACGGCATGTCATCTATCGCAAAATAATTTAATGGGTAAGTGTCTTGAAAATATCGGAAATACGCCGCCAAGATCAGCTTTCCCTTTTCCCGTCGTGAAATCAACCTATTTCCCCACATAACACTGTATATTTCTGTAGAGTTTCTTCAGTGGAAGATAGATCGATTTTGGTATTACGTTTGGCCTACCCCTTGGTGGCCGCCCTCTAGACTGGTGTGGCTGTGATGTATACAATCTTGCTGCAGTAGTTATGACATCACCAAACGAACCAAATCCACCCAATTATCTGGATCTCCGTTGATCGAGGGCAGGAAAATAGTCCGCTCTCGTCTACCTCATGTTCGGACGCGATCTGAGCACATAGTTTGCCTTTTCAATACTCAACTCTTTTATATCCAATTAGGAATTCCTTCAGGTTGGCGATCCACTTCCCCTCTTCCTGTGCTTGCATATTTGTCTCGATTATGGCCTGCCGAACGATTTCCTTTTGCAGTACTTCAGGGTATCGCCGTCTCCTTACGACTGACCTAGTGACGGCAGCGATTTCCCCGACCTGATCGATACTTTCAGGTATCAACAACTCGTCCAACCGGTGCACCGAACAAAAAACCTGACGATCTTGATCGGAGAAAGTGATCGAATCTTGCTCTTGTTGCAAAGCCTTGCTTGCCAATTCATCCTAACTCTGATTCCAGTCCATCTTCACATGTAGGTGTGGTGGAGTGGCGATCGCTCAATTAATGAGTCGATCTCAACTCTCCGCTGGCGTTCGGACGACCAACTAACGGAGGGGATACTCCGATTCCGTGTGTGTTGCCTTCCTCACCTAGTGTACCCGTCGGTAGGGCGGGTTGCACTCTTCCAGGTGGACTCGTGTCGAAGGAAAACTTGACCTTGTTGGAAATGGGGTTGTGATCGTGCGGAAATCTTCACGCGATCACGGGGTGCTCGTAGGTACTGATATAAGTTACCCTGATCTCAACGAGATCGCCTTGTCCACTATGTGGTAGCTTGATCCGCGAGCCTTCTCGCGAATCTTGCGCCTTGCCTTTACGTGTCTGTTGCGTCCGATCGCAGTTGATGTTTCTTGAGATTTCTTGAACACACCTAGCCAAAACAATCCAGGTGTGACACTCGCGTAGACGTGTAGCGCGACTCTTTATTCGACGGGGGACAAAGATCCTACCCGGAAGGGATAACGTATGCCTTGTGAAGTAATTTGAACTCTGTTTAATGTTAACCAACCAACCTAAACCCTACCTCTATGCCTATCCGTATATCTTAACCAGATGTCACGCGTCGCCTTTCCAGGAAGATCGTCCACTCGCATTTATGTGGTCCACACCCAGTGCATCCACCGTTGTATCTTCTTGTAGCCCACCCAAGATATCCTCGTGATCCCACTAGCGGATAGGGATCCTGTTAGCGGATCGTGATCCTACTAGCGGATAGCAGCTGGAGATTGGACATGCGATCCTGGGTTAGGATCGCGGCCTTTCAGTGAGATCGAGGGTCTTGTATTGCCATGTCTCACGACGGATTGCGTAATCACAACGGGTGTGACTACCCTATAGCCTCATCCCAGTCTGGGCGATCCTGTCTACTTGGGGATTGGGTACGCTATTGGCAGCCACCCATCCCAGCTTGTATCCACCAATCATAGCATTCTTGGCTCATCTGGAGCGTGTGACCCTTCGGATCGCCGATCCCAGTCCCAAGGAGATTTCTTTGTGACCGCTTTGCCACAACCATCCCCTTCACCATCTGTCAACATACGATGTTGGTCTAGCTGTGCAACCTTGAGGGCTTCATTTCTTTTCAACGCACTTTCACATCTTCTGACCCGATGTCCAATCCCGCCCATCCGGCTCCGGCATTCCTCCGGCTTCAGGATCGGGGCCCCTCGGATCGCCCTCTGCGATTTTCAACTCCAGACGTCGGAACCTCGACGCCTACCAGTCCTGCGATCTCAGACGCCTCCACCGTGCCAATGACGGAGTGTGATCGCTCGCCTGTGGTGACGTCAGCCCAGATGGGGGAAAGCTCTGGTTGGTCTTCCACTGCGAGCCTTATGTCGCGATCCTCTTCGATTCCCGCTCCGGACAGGACCTCCGCCGGCCAAAATGTTCTAACTCCGGATCTGAGTGAGCCTATCTTGCTCCTTAGTATTCGGATCGAGGCCTCGTGCTCGGTCGATCAAGCCACGTTAAACGCCGCGATTGATTCGCTTTACGTTCGCCTGAACCTTCTACAGACTGTCGTGGATCGGTACCAGAGTATGGAGGCTGCTTTGGAACGGCACATGATCCAGAATCGCCAGCTGAGTGAGGATCTAAAGGAGCTCCGCACCTCCACGTTTCCTTTCGTCCAGTTCGTCCAGTCGAAGTACGACCGCTTGCGCGTTTGCTTCGACGACGAGGTCAAACAGTTTAAGGTCTATCGGGAGGCTTTGGCCGACCGGGCGACCAGACCGCCGTGATCGAGCATCTGAAGTCCATAATTCTCCGGATTGTGCGAGCGCGCCATGCCGCCTTGGACAAATTCGATCGTGAGATCGCCGGAATACGCAACAGATCGACGAGGCGGGAGAACGGTTGGTGGCTAAATGCGAAAAGAAGTCCCATAGCCTGGACAAGGCAAACCGCAAGAAGTCAAAGTATAAGAAAATTGGCCCCCAGCTCGAAGAAAAGCTGTGTCGCGCGCTCAAGCAGGTAACGGGGCTTCGAGCCAAACTGGTAGAGGCGCAGGATTCTCTGTCCGCCCGATCCGCGGAGTGCGACCAATCGCGTCGCATCTTATCGGATCGTTACATTACCTTGGACCAGATGCGAGTCCAGCTTGCGGACGTGGATCCGATCGTGATCGAGTAATACGAGATCACCCGACCCTTCGGGGTCGAATTGCGTCGCTGGTGTCTGTGATTACTTCAGCCACACCTACATAGGTGATATCGTCTACCCACACGCCCGTTCCCGCGACTCCTAATCCGATGTCGAACGTTTTAGGGTCGAGTCGCAAGCTATCTCGCGATCCCGTACAATCGTCAACTTTGCCGCCTTTGAAGAAAGTGGCTCGATCCGCCGCATCCAATGCCAAGCCATCCCCAGTTTGCGATCCCAAGCCTTCGTCCGCTCCCAAAACAACCCGCGATCTAAGAATCGTCGCGTTCTCAAGAGTCTCCATGATCCAGCGAAGCCTGCAGCTATCTCGAAACTGGGCAAGCAGAGGCGCCGCGGTCCGAGCTTAACCTCGTCTGAGGTGAATATACATCGGCAGATGAGGATGAGAATTTAGCGGCTATATTCGGTTCGCGATCTTCCAGTCGGCGTCGAGCGTCCAATCCGGCGGCACAACTTTCAACTGAGCCTTCTCCGGATCTGATCGTCATAGACACGCCGAGACCTTCGCGCGATCCTTCACCTTCGGTTCATCCTGGTATTCTTGCTGTGACCAAGTCATCTCGCTCAGACCTTTTCGGGGAAGCTTCCTGTGACTCGGATGGTTCCATTAGCATTTTTGTTTCGCCTCGTGATATGGTCAATCCGATGTTATCTCTGGCGGAATATGATAACTTGCCCTCCACCAAGGTCTCTCGCGATCAGTGGATCCCTGGATGTCGAGATCGCGTACCGCGATCCTTTGCTCAGGTTTCTCCATGGTCGGCACGCAAGGTTAGTTGGACGAGCGTCGCGGAGATGGACACTGACTCCCTGTACCGCCACTTATCCCTTCCCAAAGGCTGTGTCTTCCCAACGGTAATGGTGACCAAGTTTCCTCCTCCCACATCTGAGTGGAAATCTCGGCTGGTGTGTCAGGCCCAGATCGCGGTCTTATATGCCCAAGAGCCTTAGGAGACAGCCACACGCCGGATTACGCCGATCTCCTTCTCTCGTACCAGCTGGTTCAACCAGATCGCTTCTCTATACTTGGAGTTCGAAGATCGCAACCGACAGGCTTTATGGGATTCGACGCACGCGATGTTCCTTTCCAGTAAACAGCGGCCAGCGATCCTGAGCTGGGCCATTTCTGGAATCATCGGAAGCAGCGTCGGTCGCGGGCTGGACCTCGGTGGAAGGCGACCCTTCGATTCAACTTGTAAGGTATGATCGCAGGATATTGTGATCCGAACATCCTGTTGGATACCTTCTTTCTGCACTTTCCTTCTTTCAAAAAGCTTTTCATCGAATACCCTGGCCTGGGATGCAAACCGATGGGCATCCCCAATTTGATCTCTCCTCTTCCGTTGCTAGATACCGCTAAACCTTGGCGTTCTCAGTATCGATCCTCTATCTCCGACCACCCCGGATCGTCGATCGCACGATTGCCAGGTAAGTTCTTTCTTTCATGATCGCTAGGATTCGATTCAGATAGTTCTATCATTCAATATAATCTCTTTTGATCCTTCATCTTGTTCTTCATTTTAAGATCAACTTCTTTCCTTCGGCTTTACAACCTCGATCGGATCCCCTCGATACGCTATCTCCACTCATTTTACATATAGCTCCGATCCATCATCTCATGCAACCTCCTTGTACAATTTGCCATTCCACCATTTCACGTTTACCTTTTAGAATGCGCCAACCGCTTACCGCTTCGATTACCCGTTAATCTTCGGTTTTCTCCTCATAGGACTGCAAAACTTCAAATCGGTTTTGACTAGCACGATTGCGCTCGAAATCTTGCGACAACGCGCCAAAGTTCAGGTCCGCTTCGTCTATCCAGGTCGGATCGTCGTGTTGCTACCATTAATCTAAAAACTGTCGATGAATTCGACCATAACGACTATTACGTCCTGATCGTATATCCAAGATTTTCTCCACTTCGTATTCGTCAGAAGCCAACTCGTTTACCCAACTATCTTTCGGCAACAACGACTCATCGAATTCCACACGATCCTCACAGTTAGTCACTAGCACACTGCCTGGGCGATCAGAAAACTGTAACACTGACTTTAACTTGGAGACGTGCACTATCGAAAAACAATCGGTATGGAGTTCCTAAAGTCTCCACCCGAACAGCATGTTCCCCACATAACTCCGCCACTCGGAACGGTCCATGCCAAATATTTGCTAGCTTCCAAGCATGGTCGTTTTTGGCTCGGTCCACTAGAGCCAAACTTGCGATCCGCACCTAATATCACACACTTCAATATAGTCATTGTGTCGATCCGCTCGATCTTGTATCGCGATCTCGAGACGTTCATTTACTATTGCTCTTTCCCTCTGATATTGACGTTGGACGGTTTATCGCCACCTTCTAGGGTCCGCATCGCGTGTTTTATTGCTCCTTGACGGTAACGTTGCTTCCAAATTCGATCTTGGATCCCAATCATGGATCAAATAGAACGGAGTGTCTCCACGGATCCAATCTTGTGCCGTATTCATAGCGAATGTCAATCTTTCTGCATATTCCTCCCAGTCTTTCTGTTCCACGTCCTCGACGTACATCTTAATCGACCGAGTCAACGTCTGTACCATACGCTCCGCAGTTCCGTTCGCTTGCGGTCGGTACGCAATGGTCGCACGTTGCTTTTGCCCTGCGATCCGATGAATTCTCGAAAAAAGTCGGACATAAATCCAGGCTCCCTGTCGTGACGTATAGCTTCACTGGCTCCAAATCTTCAAAACGCACATTCTTCATATCCTTCAGAGATCCTTTGCGCCGTCCTCGACGAACTTGCTCTCGCGATCACATATCCTGAGAAAAGATCTATCCACAGCAGCAGTTCTGTATTTCTTTTAAATTACCGCGGCAATGATGGGACATGATCCATCGTGAGCCTGAAATGGGTATGTAGCCTGTATGATTCCCAAGGATCTGCCGCGGATCGCGGGTAGACCCTTCCCGGTTGTTCAGTCCACGCGTTCGCCAACATAACGTTGTATACTTCGATACAATCCTTTCCAGTGAAAATTGGATCTGATCCGCTTAAAAGTCCTCCCGATCCCCTGGTGACCCTGGTGACCCTACAAGCTGGTGTGGTAATGGTGCATAAAATCTTGCTGCAACAATTCCGGTACAACCAGACGGACCACCTCTATACGATCGTCCGGTTCCTTAGCGGATTGAGGGCTGAAGAACACCAATCCGTTTTCGTCCACTTCGTAGTCTGAAGCGATCCGAGCGCATATATTGCATCCTATGCGTTTAATTGGGTCAGATCGCCCACAAGATGTTCCTTCAGGTTGGCGATCCAGCTCTCTTCCTCTTGCGCTTGTTTAATCCGCACGATCCGCATTCGCTGCACTATTTCTTCTAAAACAACTTCGGGTTTTTGACGTCTTCGCTGCGCGGATCGTGTGATCGCTATCATTTTTACCACGCGATCCTTCCTTTCCGGCAGGGGCAACTCGTGCAGCCTGTTGACGGATATCATATCTTGCAAATATTTTTAAGCTCACAATGCCATTTTCCTCTTGCTGCATAGTTGCACTGGGTACTTGATCCGCGCTTTGGTTCCACTCCCTCTTCATGTGTTAGAACTCGTGTTTTGGTCAAGATCGAAGTTTCTGCATTGCTTTATGACGCAGTAACGGTAGCCCAGGCGCTTTACAATCCATCTCGCCCCGCATTTGCCTGATCACTAGGTTCGAGTCACCACACATAATGACTCGTACCCTAGTATGGTTGTCCAGCAGATCGAGACCCAACAACATGCCACGACATTCTGCTGCATTCACCGTCAGATCTGCCACATATGTCGCAGCGGCTGAGATGATGGTCCATTCTGGTAGCTTCCACACGATCGCACTATATGCCCGCTCTTCCGTTTCGTTCGTGCCGATTCGTCGAAACTGACCACCAACAGGCATTCATCCGTACCTACTGTGGGAGGTAGCATCATTACCAATTGCTTAGGTTTCTTAAGTGGAGCGATTGCAATCAACACATCATCTACCTCATCTCGCGGCGTTATACTAGCTGCGAGATCGCCTAGTATTTCATCCTCTCCTTTGTTACATCTCTTGACCTCCAGTGTCCAATTCGATAGCAGCGCAGCCCATCTTCCCAGTCTCCCATTGAGGCCAGAAGATTGAACTAGCCAAGCTAATGTCGAATATCTAGTGAGCGCTCTGATCTCTCGTGATACTATCATGGTGTAGCACACTTCCAAAATTTGAAGTAGGGCTAAAACCTCTTTCTTTACCATTCCATATTTAACTTTATTCGGCTGTAGTGTGCGACTCGTGAATGTCACCGGCCAGTATACGCCGTCATATTTTTGCAATAGAGATGCCGATACTGCTCACTTACTAGCATATACCACGATCACTGGAAGTCGATTTGGATCAAAATGTTTGAGGATCGGGGTTGTGGCGATCTTGGCCTTCAGCGAAGTGAATGAAATGGCGGCCCTTTCCCACCGAGATCGCTCATTTGGATCATGCTCACCTCCTTGTAGTGTGATATTGCAACTTCCCGCCATAGCATCACGATTTATCATATGGCCCATCTCGAAAAAATCCGCCTCTCGTCACT